GAGTACTAATGTTTATCAACAAATCGATCTGATCAAAATTCTCTTCCCCTTCTTCCAGTATCATGTAAGCCAGGGCTTTTCAACCTTTTCACAGATTGTACCACTTTTAGGACATGACAATATTTGAATACCACCAGTGCTTAGCAAGGTGTCAAAAACTTGATGACTTAAAAAAAAGGGGGGGGGAGATTTTGGGTTTTACTAATTAGATTCATTTGTTGTTATAGTAATGGCTAGTTTATAATATTATGGAAAAGTAAAAAGCTGAGGTTCAATGTTAGTGCTTCCTTCTACTGCAACAGAGGAAGTATGTTCTTTTTTCCCTTCTCCCCCTCACTTTTTCTCCCTTTTTCCTCCCCACTGTGTCCTACTATTTGCTTTTGTATTTTTGTATTTTATTCTATAATTTAATAAAATATTACAAACTGTAGAAAAAAAGTACCACTTTTAATTTCTTCGGTGGCTGTTCCTTTGCTGAATCCCTTTCCCTTTGCACTGACAAATGAATTATGAATTTATCCATGTTTATTAATATGCATCATTACCATCTAGTTCAGGGGTCTTCAAACTTGGCATTTTTAAGACTTGTGGACTTCAATTCCCAGAATTCCTCAGCCCTCATGGCTGGCTGAGGAATTCTGGGAGTTGAAGTCCACAGGTCTTAAAGTTGCTAAGTTTGTAGACTCCTGAGCTAGCTGGTTGGGCCTTCTTCCTCTCTCCCTTCTGAGCTCTTCCACAGTGTAGTAAGACTGCACCCCCCAATCCCTTCACTGTATCCTTAAAGACACAGGAATCAAATGCAAAGCAAGAAAATAAACACAAACTCAGTTTTTTTTCTCTTTAAGCTGCCTCAGGTGAGTCAAGTGTCACAATGTTGCAATCTAGACTGAAAGGCTCCAGCAATTGCGAAAAATTAAGCCTGTTTACCTTCAAAGAAAACTTTCTAAAAGCCACAGACAGACTCAATTAAAGGGGGTAAAACTAATTACATTTTTTAAAGGTATTAAACCTTTCCTGTTGTCTTTTTTTCCCTTCCCCCAGCCAAACCATGTTCTTTTATAGCCTCTCCTCTCTCCCTGCCTTTTTCTTTAGTTCAGCTCCGAGCTGCTTCTGGAAACGCCAATCAGCTGGAGCCCTGCCGGCTCCTGGGGCTTCTGCCGAGCCCAGACAGTCATGCAGCTGAAGTTGCCTCTCCCTCAGGCTTGGCTCGCTTAGGCTCATTCCTCTCCCGATACACTTGGCTAGCGTACCACCTGCCACGTGGCAAAGTACCACAGGTGGTACTCATACCACCGGTTGAAAAGCCCTGATGTAAGCAATATAGTCCATTTTATTCCATATTATAATTTCAGCTTGATTATCCAGGTTGTCTTAACTTTAAATTGATCACATCTGGCTGTCAATTCCTGTTAATTTTAGCAATGGGAATACTTCACTTATAATCATTTTTTGATCTTCAAAGTTCTCCACCGTTTGTACATAGACTTGTGAAATATCCTCCTCTGTAGTAGTTAGTTGATTTATAAAGTAGTCATTTAAGGTCTCAGTCTGGGATTTTGGGTCCAGAATTTTTCTAAGGTTCAATTGATCAGTGAGTTCTTCCATCTCAAATTGTGTACACTGTTGCATATAAGCTTCTTCTTGGCCTGTAGATTGGTCTTTTAAAATTTGGGGCTCAGCTTGTGATTCTAGAAGATGGTCTTTAGTTTTTCTCCATGACTTCATGTCCTCTATCATTTCCAATATTTTTTCCAATATCAGCTCATAGTCAAGCTGTGGGCAAAAGTCTTCTATTTCCATAGTAAAAGAGTCTTTTAATCTTTTTGTGGAAACTATATTTATTAAGAGTCCATATACATCCGCCTCCACAATTTTTAAATCACAAACACAACCCACAGCTGTTTCCAAGCCTTTATCTTTTCTTCTTGTTAATTCCTGAAGGTCAAAACCATCTTCAAACACCAAAGCAAAGACATTAGAATTGCAGTAAATATTTTTGTCACAAGATGTCCTCAGTAAGCTATAGAAAGTTTTTTCTTTAAAAGCCTTTATCTCGTTAAGACTGACAAAGAAAGAGACAGAAAAAAGCAAATATTCAGTATAGTAAGTAAAATAATGCTCTATATTACAAATCTTTCCAGGGATGCCCAATATCCAAAAGGTTCAAAATATAATAAGTGCTATTCTGTAGTTTTGTTTAAAGTATTTTTTTCCCCAGACAGACGCTGCTTTCTTAGAACAGGGAAGTCATCCAAAGTCATTCCTCTTTGCAGGAAAAATAGTTCAAGCAAATAGTCAGGACAGAGAGAGGGAGGAAAGGTCTCACCCGGATTCACCACTGTGGTTCTTTATGCTTAGATGATTTTCTGACTTCAGCTGGCACAGCGAAGTGATTGGCCATCGGCCCTATGAGTTAGCTTGGACTGTAGGGGGAGCCGCCGCTTCACCGCAGCCGAGCAAAAGCCTCCTCGATGGTGGTCGCCCCTCCAGGGTGATTTAAGACCCACATAAGGATCTACCAGTGGAGAAAAAACAGCCAACGAAGAGCAACAGCTCTTTGTGTGGCTGAGCCTGCCGTGATCTGGAAGCGGAAGTCCTTAATTGACTCTTATGTGGATTTGATTTTGAAAATTCTTTGGTTGTGAAGAATGTGAGGGAGATAGGAGAATTTTTCCTGTGATATAGTTAAAGCTGTGGCATTGTCTTAGAAAATGAATAGAAGTGATCTCATAAAATAATTTTCAGTTTTTTACATCTTAACCCTCATGAATCACTTTGTCCAAAACCCTGAGTCCTAGCATTTAGAGCACTTAGACTTATATTCGTCAGATGCTTTACAGTCTTCTCTAAGCAGTAGTTAAAATGCAGTATTGCAGGCTTTTAACTTTGCTGACTGCCAGCAATTCGATCCTGACCGGCTCAAGGTTAACTCAGCCTTCCATCCTTCTGAGGTTGGTAAAATGAGGATCCAAATTGTTGGAGGCCATTCGCTGACTCTTTAAACCCCTTAGAGAAGACGGTAAAGCACTGTGAAGCGGTATATAAGTCTAAGCGCTATTGCTATTGCTATATTGTAATATTTGGGCAACTGTTTATAATGATTTTACCTTGAGAGAATATCAGAAACGTACAAAAAAGCAACCGAAACAAATCCAAACCTTTACTGAAGAATAATCAGGAATTATAGAATTCACAGGAATTATGCTTGACATCCTGGCACCTCTAGGTAATCTAGGTAATCCTGGCAGATCTCCAAAAGCTAAGCAGGCTCAATTTGGAAATCTTAAAAACATTTTGTAAAAAGGCAGTCAGAAAGTGCCTGCATCTATGTAACTGCCAATACCATTGAGTAATTTAATTGTTAATAGTTTAATAAAAGTTAAGTTTAATTATTCAAATCAAATTGATTCCTGCAAATCTAATTGAAAGCAGAGATAATGTACACAGTGTGTTGGGAAAATTAGTTTTTGTAAAACAGCTTGTGGAAGATTCAGCCATCGTAAACATCAAGCTAGTTTGGTGAAAACAGCCAGGCCAATGTTTATAAAAGGTCTTTGATTACTTTGTACAAAGAATTTGTCTGCAAAATGGACAAATTCCAAGCATATTTCCCATCAGTCACCAAGCATTGTATCTACAATACCAATGAATGTGTCTATAGAGTCCAGGAAGGCATTTTGGAATCTTAAGAGCATCATAATATGCCATCAATTAGTTTTTAGGGAATACCTAGGCTTCGACTCTAGAACTGATTGACAGTGCCACTTCATCGGTAGGTCGCTCTCCCAGATCTGACAGCGCAAAGGGGGGAGAAGAGAATCCAGTTGAAGGGAAGGGTGGGAGAGAAGGAAAAGACAGCGCTCGCAAGCCTAAACAGCTTAGTCAAGCAGGGGATCCAACAGGAACCTTCACAGTGTAGCATAATTATGAACTTCTGGCTACGCTCCACTTTCTTTATCAACGGATGTGCGGAATAGCTAGCACGGAACGAAACTGCTTACAATATTTCGGAATAATATGCGTTATTTAAGCGAAATAGACCGGTAGGGCTCCTGCGATGTTATCGACAAATACCGCCTTGGGTTAAGTGAAATTTTACCCCTTTTCCTCCCGTTTTGCGCGCGTAATTTCTACTGCGCGCCAACTGACAGCCTTGCCCAAGGCTTGACTTGATCGCAAGGAAGGTGAGCTTCCGAGTGGAGTCGATTTGTTCGTTCCCACCAAAGCCGCGACTGGCGGGCCTCCTTCCGCCGCCGCTTTTGCGCCGCTGCTCTGGGCCGGGCGGAGGCGGGGCGAGCCGCTGGAAAGAGGAGCCGCGGAAGTTGTTCGATCTTGGAGCGCAAGTGTATTATCCGAGGTTGCAACAGCAACTTGTGTGCGCAATAGGGCGCAATTTCCCATCAAAGAACTCAGAAAAACGTCTTCCGCAACGTTAGGTGGCTCACGAAAATCCTCCCCCTCCCATGCCAAATGTTGGGCAAAACGACCTTTTGCTTTCTTACTGCTATTTCTGGGGGCTCTCAAGTGCTCCGTCTCCGGCATTGAGAGCGAGGCTGAGATTCCTCTTCATTCCTGTCTTTCACCCCCGCCTTCCGGCCCGGCCCACTTTCCAGTCCTGGTGGATCCTTGATTCCAGTTACAGCTGCCAGAGAGAGATAGCAGGGTTATCTCTTAGCCGAAAGGTTGAATCATGACCTGTCACCCACACATGTCTTATGGCTTCCTTCTTGGTGCGTTATAACCAAGTCGCCATGCAAGCCTAGCCAGCTCCTAGTCAAGCGCTCGCGTTCATATCGCTCGAGGAGGCGCGCTGGGCCGATCTTGGCCGGCTACTCAAAATCCGGAATTACCGTTTGGATGGGAGACCGCCAGAAAATCACCCAGTGGAAGTCGAGAAATCACCCAAGAAGGAGGCAATGGCAAAACACTTCCTTTGTGTTACCTGAAAATCAGAGTGGACATACCCATGGAATTTGCAGCTAAGTTCCACTTGAGGGAATCCTTATCTATTTATCCATCTTCATGGTACCTTAAGATTGTTCTTGTTCAGGACGTGTGTCTGAAATACTTGGGGCTGGGAATCGAGGGGTGGTGGGTGGGGTCCTTCAAACAATTGTTTATTTGTTTAAATTTATATGCGACCCATTTCATGTTCTGGCACACATCAGGTATGAAACTTCCAATCTTCTGCAAACGTATTGAGGGCGCCTTCAAGAGGATGGATGGGTGGATAGATGGATAAATAGATAGATGATACAGAGAGAGGGGGAGGGAGGGAGGGAGAGGGAGATTTAGCGCAAATCTTTTTTTCTGTTTCCGCAACACTGAATTTGTCTGTGCGCTGAGCTCAGATGCCTTCTTTACCAGGAAAACTGGTGGAGCCGGTTTAATAGGAAAAGAAGCAGCTGTTCCGCGCTCCCTCTTCTAGGTTTCTACCTCTTTTCTGAGGGTGTTGGTTTTGAGAACTTCCTTCCGGAGGGAAAGTTTGCCAGCAGAAAATCTATAGGTTTCTATGTTTCCGAAAAGCTCTTTTTACAGAGATAAAGAATTATGCAAATCAGAGGGCAGTCATATTTTGCGCCCAAAATTAAAAAGCGAAACGCGGTTCACTTGCTCGGAAACAAGCATGCGGACTGTTGTTTCAAAGTATTACCTGTCCTCTTGCATTTCCATATGGAAATTTTATTTCGAGTTATCA